AACAGATTTCTGTGTCCCTCTGGACGCAGCTTGAAGAAAACAAAGCAGCCTGCACGATGGACATGGACATCTTTTCTGTACCGATGACACCCCACCTGAGAAGATTTGAGCCTTTGATGGCCCAGGAGGTACGCCACACTCTGTCGCTGTTGCCCCAGCCGGCTGCACATTTCTTGGCGGTGCTGCTTTACAACTACATGCGGCAAATGAGGCGGGCTTGGGCATGGTTTTTCGCAACGTCTTTCGAGATGCGGTACTACTCTGAAAGCTTGGAGCGAGCGACATTACATGACAGATCGCGCATCCCGGACAGAGAAAGGTACTGGCAGGTGGACATGGAATATATTGAGGACAAGCTACAGGAATGGCAGGTCCGCTATGACATGGGTCAGGAATGTATTGCCTGGCACCAATTCCGCTTCCACCTCCCGTGCTGGGAAGTTCTGATGAGGCCTGCGCAGATCAGTGGTCTGCATGGATAGCCGTGAACGTGGCCCCGCCATGGGTCCACAGACGACACCCGCAACGGACATACACAACAAAGTTGAGCAATGGAGGAGATTTAGTAATCTGGATTTCTGATATGTCAACTACGCATGCTGCATGTCTATAGCGAGGATCACTGAAGCAAGCTAGCCACCTGAAGACGTGAAGTCCTGCCTGGCGCAACATCAGAAATGCAGTCTATGACACGTGTGAAACCTGGCTGACTTAATTCATCCGTTCCTGTACCTTGCTGCATGCCCGTCACCTTGACCCTGAACTGTTAATTCGAATGCATGCATGTCCCTTGCCGTAACTGTAACTGTAGTCCTGCTTTGCACTTTTGAAATCTGCAAGAGTAGACGGCCTGTAGTGATTCTGGAGGCAGAAAGGGTTGGAGGTCATTTGTGGTGAGCCTGCAAAATAGGTTTTTGTTAGTCCTGGTTGTTGCGATGACTGCCCCCTGATGTGAGTCCACATAGAGAGTTGCAGCCCTCGCTCCGTGACAGTCTGCTTAGTGGCACTCTATCCTCAGTCCCCTACTTTTTGGTTGATGCCGTTGATCTATCACGGACTGCCATATGTGGACCCGAACAAGAGTTGTGACAGATGCCCGCCGCCTAGAAAAGGCCTGGCAGAAAGTTTCCGCGCCATCGGTTGGGTGCTCACGTGATTGCTTTGCCACTTCGGGTCTTGTGTTTTGCTTTTACTGTTGGTTACATAGGAGCTGCGCACCCCGCATTTTTGGCGGAATGTTTTACACTTGCCCTGAGACACACTCGAGCTGTGATATCGTCGGAGTGGTCTGCTTTTCCACAGGA